AATAAATAAATTTAAAAAAAAAAAAAAAAGTTTCTAAATGGTACCAGTTTGTAACCATGATGGCATATATGGACTATAATCATTGTTGCTGCTTCTATTCTTTTAATATTTATTTATTTAATTGTGTGTGTGTCTGTGTGTGTGTGTTCTCTCTCTCTCTCTCTCTCTCTCTCTCTCTCTCTCTGTGTGTGTGTGTGTGTGTGTGTGTGTGTGTTTAAGCATGTGGAGATAAGAGGAAAATGTTCAGAAATTATTTCTTTCCTGCCACCTTGTGGGATCCAGGGATGAAGCTAAGGCCATCAGACTTGTGCCTATATCCACTGAACAATCTCACCAACACTCTACTAATGTTATTTATTGGGATTGTTATAGCCTTTGATCCACCTAAACAAAGTAGTAACCTCCTGTCATTCAGGAAACATTTGCTCATAGGTGGCAGACAAGATCACTTATTGGTTCACATAATAGAAAGTTCAAATGATGTCCTAGCCTAGCCATGGCTAAATGCAAGAGTTTCATTTAAGACCCTCACTATCTTGTGCCTTGGACTTTTGTCCGAGTCAATAACATTCTTGGCAGTGGCACAAATTCTGGCTGAATAGCAACCTTCTGCCAAATGCTCACACTGAGTTAACATTTAGGACACCTAAAATATTGAATCCTATTCATTCTCATTGAGCAAACGCCCACTAATTCTGGCTTGCTTGTTCACTAATACCTCTACAAGGAAGGACTGATGTAAGCAGATTTCCTCAGAACTTTATCTTCTCTTCAATTCCCTTTGTCATCCTATGACTGTGACCATGGGACTGAGGTACATGTCTTGGACAGAGGATGATCTTTGAATTGAACAGAAGTATCAATATCTTTTGCCTTACCTGTTTTAAACAAAAGTTGTCTTTCCTTTCTGTCTGAGAAAAGCAGACATTCCCTGCTCCTTTCTCCCTCTCTCCTGCTAACAAGTGAAGCTGCCCTGGTCTCAGCTGCCTCCATCCTTGTTCCATGGCATGCTACTTCTTTAAATTGAGGTTAGGTGATTTTCTTTTTGATTAGAGACTTAGTCTAAGAATTTAATGGGCTGGTTTGATTGGGATAAAGAATGTTACCAACAACTAATTTTGTGTGTATGTTTGTGTGTGTGTGTGTGTGCATGCCTTTCTTATTACACTCCCTTCTCCTGAGTTGTGATTTAAACACTTGGCTTAGACTATATACACAAGAGGTACCCTGTTCCACTGGTCCTGCGACTTGCTTGCATCTCTAAGCAAGCTTTTCCCATTTTGTCTCCCAGGCATAACACAATACTTATATCTGATCATCCTATTTCCAGCCCTTCCTGGCTGAGAGGCAAACCTACAGAAAATGTTTGTATCAACCTGACCTTTACTTCCCTCCTCCTTTGAGGGATTAAAGCGTGTCATGCCTGTCTCTTTCCAGGTCTGCAGAGAATACAGCAACTTACAAGAAACATAAAATACTTCCGACAGCGGCTCATAGAGATGGGATTCATCATCTACGGCAATGACCACTCTCCCATCATCCCTGTGCTCCTGTACATGCCTGCTAAAGTATCGTGAGTATCCAACACAGAATCATACCAATGCCCAGTATGTCATGACTCAGATAGCGTATTTCTGGGCATGAATTAGATTATGTGCTTGAGTTCTGACCTCAGACACACAGCTTTCTCAGGAGTCACCTGCCAGCATCTTCAGGACATTTTCCATGTAACTTCCAGAAAAAAAAAAAAAGACAGATGCTAAGACTCACCCCTCTACATCATTTTCATGCTCTGGAAATTTAGGGAAATGATTTATCTCATCTGTAAGAAAGGCAGCTTTTTTTTGAGCCTTCTTCTAACCCAAGACTATCCCTCCAACACATAACCTCAGGAAGAATTGGAGCTTTCTGTTTGACCCACCATGCATCTGAAGAGGTAAATAATTTATAATACCAAACATAGTGTTAAAAGTAGTTGGAGCTTAGACTATTGAGAACTCATGCAGAGCTGATGAGAATCATAAATTCTCAAAAACCTGATTCTTCTAAACATATCCTTGTGTCATCTTCAACAGAAAAACATCAAGCAATCGGAGCACACACGTGAGTTCTTTAGTAGTAGGCCGTGACATTAGAATCAGTTGGCCCTTTGTTCACAAACATAGGTCAAAAAAAACAAGGGACTGCCTGTCCAAGGAGAAAGAATACAGCACCATTCTGCTCAGTGTAATGGCAGGCGGGGAGCGACAACGGGGATTCTAAGTATCCACCAGTCTAAACCCCCTAGCTTCTAATGTTTGAGGGCACAAAAGAACACGTGCACTTATTCAAAACGACTGGGTAAAGAGAATGCTCTGTAAGATTTCAAACTAAGGGCATGTCTACCTAATATTTTATCATAGCTCAAAAGAAGGCACTCAGCGTGAGCTTGGTGAGCTTCATAATGCACGACACTGGAGTGAGAACAGGAAGAAGTGTGAGGAAGGGGGGGGGGCAGACGTAGAATCTCATAAGTTAGAATTGTGGCTAATCCAATGAGGAGTCCTCTCATAGAAAAAGTAGCGTGTTTTAGATTACATCTGTTTTACACTGATACATAAAATATAAAAATTATGCAATTAATAGGGTATTATGTAATTGTTATACATATCTACACACATAAATATGTACATATGTCTATATTTATTTATATAGTGACTAATTCAGGGGAAACATCTATTTTCACAAACATTTATCATTTCTTCATAGTGAAAATATTCAAAAACCTTCTTTGAGATTTTAGAATATACAATATGTCATTGTTGGGCTGGAGAGATGGCTCAGAGGTTAAGAGCATTGCCTGCCCTACCAAAGGTCCTGAGTTCAATTCCCAGCAACCACATGGTGGCTCACAACCATCTGTAATGGGGTCTGGTGCCCTCTTCTGGCCAGCAGGCATACAGAATATTGTATAAATAATAAATAAATAAATATTTAAAAAAAAAAACAATATGTCATTGTTATATATAGTTACCCAACAGTGTACTAATATTCCCGAAATTCAAATACATTTCAGATTTACTAATACAACATACTTCATGTAACTATTATTTTTAATATTGTGGTAAGAGGTTCAGAATCAGAGTGTTGGCCCATCTTCTTACTTGGAGCACCTTGGATAAGCAACCCTCTGAAGACTAGTTTCATCTTGTACGAAATGAGATAAGCTAGTGCCCACTTCCTGAGATGAACCGAACAAAGAGCTGAGGATCTAATTTAGTGACAGAAAGCTTCCTTGGCACACACACTAAAGCTGGCACCCAATCTCCAGCACTGAAGAAACAGAAAAGAAAAGGCATTTGCAGCGTCTGGAACGAAGCTTTTCCTTGTAAGAGTTACACAGGATTTGCTGTCTTCATGGCTTTAGTTGCTTTTATAGTGCTTAGCAGAGCTCTTTTAAATTTCTAAATTTTTATCCATTTTGTGTTTGGTTTGGATGAGGTTTTGTCTACTGATATGGATGTGCCCATGGAGACAAGAGGAGGACTTGAGATTCTCTGGCTTTCCAGTTAGAGATGGTTGAAAAGGCCCTGTGTGTATGAAAAACTAAACAAGGGTCATCTGCAGGAGCAGCAATGACTTTTGCCAACCGAGTCATCTCTCCAGTCCCCACAATCTGAGTTTGGAGGGGAAAAAATGTCTTCTCTCTTCCCCTTCTCTTGTAAACAAGCATCCATGTTTGTTTTCTCTTTTTCTCTGAGCCCTCGATCATATGTTCTGCTCAGTCCAATCTAGACAGGTTTCTCCAAAGAAACCCTGTCAGCATGTGCTGGGGGCCAGCGACTAAATCGAATCCCAATTTCCAACACATTGGACAAAAACAAAACCAGTACAGCAACAGGATAGAACTTATGTAGAATATACCAGAGTTTCGTGGTCCCCTCCCCCAACCTGCCATTCACCTCATTTATAGCTGTATCAAAGTTTGAGCCACCACGCTGTCTCTTCCCAGATTCGCTGTAAATGTTCCACATGTCCCAAAGTCTACCTAGGTGTCATTGATAACAATGCTGGCTGCTGCTTCTGGGACACATGTGTAGGTCGCACCTGACCCAGCATAGCTTCAGGCATTTGAGAGGGTGCTCCAGGAAGGCACACTGAGCAGAAGTTGGGGATCAGTATCCTTCAGCCACCAAGTGGGGTTTTGAGCTCACCATTATCTTTCAGCTTGAGGTCTTGGAGACCTCAAAAGCATGAGTTTAACGTAGCTCTTGATAAGGTGTAAGCATTCTGTTATTCCTGGCCATTATGATCACTGCTCTCTTTTGATGTACTAACTAGTAGTAGTTTCAACTGAACATAATATGAAGTTGGTGTGGTTGCCTGGCTCTCCAACATAAGCATTGTAGTTAACGAAAGCAGAACTCCTAAAATAGTAACTGAATAACCTGCTACTCTGCCTTAGTTACACAATCATGGGGTCTAGATCCTGGTTCCCTGCATCTTAAGGTTGTTCTTCAGAAGAAGCTAGCATTGCTAATGTTGGTTATATTCTAAATAAGCCTTTTTTTTGATATGCATGGTGGACAAGATGCTTGCCCCCGGTTTATAAAAGGGGTTATGAGACTAACAAAGGTCAGATTACCTTCTTAGGTTCACCCACGTTGTAATCAGCAAACTAGAATTTAAATGTCATTTAAATTCTGCCCATGAACCGAGGCTCTGAAACCTGCAGCAATCTTCCAAGCTTTAGTCTACCCCTCATTAAAGTGACAGAGAGTGTGGGCTTAACAGTCTTGAATGTTGTCTTTGACGATTCAAAATGTGCCGGCCATTAGGACAGAAAAGTGCCTATGATGCTCTTCCACTGAAAGGTTATGTATAAAGAAGCTTTTGAAACATGGAGAAAGTGGTATCAGCCAGGGTGAAGGCACTTGTTTTCATTTTCATATTTAAAAATGTTGATGTTAGGGGCTGAGGAAACACAGAGAGTTAGCAAAGTGCCTCCCAGATCCAGACCCCCAGCACTCATGTAAAAGCATAAGATGCCCATCTGTAATCGTAGCTCTGGGAACACTGGCAGGCAGGTACTTGGGGCTCCTTGGCCAGTCAGCCTAGCCAAACTGAGGAGCCTCCACATCCTTCAAAGTAATAATTACAAAGAAGAGGTAATGAAGTCGAGAGGGAGTGGGCCGGACTTAAGAGAAGTTGGCGTGGGGAGCGCAGGGTGGAAATAGTATATAGTACTTACTATGAAATTGTCAAATATCACAATAAAATAAGGGGAAGGCAACCAACATTCACCTCTGCCTCCACATTCATATACACACAGGTACCTACTGACACGCACACATACACACACAAAATAAAATTTTTAAAAATCTAGATCTTTGATATTCTTATAAATTAAGATTTCTTCTTACCTCTACCTATGTGAGATTTTTAAAAGTGATCTCAGATTAGGTGTAGGTTTAAATGTATTACAACAGTACAATCATCCTAGGTGCTCCAGTACAATGTAATGTCATCCATAAAATGTGTAAATAAGGCAGGCAAGATAACTCCACAAGCCTACAATCTGAATTCAATCCCCGGAATCCACACACTGGAAGAAGAAAATTAACTCTAAAAAGATGTTCTCTGACCTCCACACGTGTGCCAAGACATAAAAAAAAAAAAAAGTAAATAGGTATAAAACTTAAAGCGTACCTATAAATAATATGTTACATTATCCTGTGGTTCAGGCTTATACTTCCCCTACACGAGCATGATGTGTCCTTGTCTTGCATTTGGAGACTTTGGTACACAAGACATAGTGCTGCCTCCAGCGCAATGCTGATGCTTATCATCGTCGTGTTTATTGCTGGTTCAGATGCTTGCTTTTTAGTCTTTAGCAGCTCAATATGCTTTGGGGGTTACATGCCCAGAGGCTCATTATATAAAATACAGTTGTCTATATTCACTGCAGTAGTCTAATTTTTTAATTCGGATATGTTCCAGGGAGGTCCCGGATTATCCTCACGAACTAACAGTCGCATATTTTGTTCCACATTCTTTGGCAAAACTCACTTCCTTTGGTACAAAGGGAAACACACCGACAGTGAAATGGTCTTCGGGGAACTCTGAAAACTGGCCTGAGATCATGTGTCAGGTGGTTTGTAGTCTAGCAATAAAAGCACTTGACTCGTTTCTCAGACAATCCTCGGCTCTCATCCTGTGCAGTGCCGTGGGCAGCCTTCCATAGGGTGATCAAGAAGGCAGAAAGAACAGCCCCTGTTTTCAAACTTTCTCAGCTAGAAAGTTTTGCCGCCTTGTAACCTTCACAGTAGAAATCAAAGGACAAAAATCTCGCCTTGCCCAAGCCAGGGGGGCAGAAGGGTTGTGTGTTCAGTAGGTTTTGCAGTTCTTCGCTGCTTTATTTGACAGAATGCATCCTGCACGAGGCAACCAAAAGGCAGACAGCTAAATAGCAAGACGGATGAAAGAGTAGACAGTCTGCTTCAGTCATTTTCTCCTCAGTTATGGCTGGAAGGTTGCTATGCCGCTGTCAGTGTCACGCCTAACATAATAGACCAGCAAGTTCTTAATGCTAGGAACGGACCAGGGGACCCGACTTTTCTGTGGGTAGATTCACTACTCCGCAATTGTGATTTCCTGCAGAGAGCATCAGAGCCCAAAGAGAAAAAAAGAACTCACTAGGGGATATTTGCCATTCGAACCTGATCTGAGCTCTTAGAACAGGGGATTTCTAGACTTTGAAATAATTACTGAGATTAACTTTGGAATAAAGAAAAAGCAGAAGGATGAGGGGAAGGAAGAACTTATAAAGGTTCCCCTGCCTCAGAGAGCTTTGTAGTCAGTCCTATGACTGACATCCTATAGGCTGCAACTGCCCGTGAGGGTCTCTTACCTCCCTGCTTGCCTATCATCTGGTTCCCCTCAAGGCCATGCAAGAGGTTATTCCACTTGTGCACGCCTGGGTGTATTCATTCATAACTAAAGATTTTTAAAACAAATGAAAAGACCCTCCCTTGCCATCACTCACTTGGTTTCTACAAGCCCTTACACCACGCTCTTCAAATTATTGGCACTAAGTATCCCATCTTCAAAAATTCACAGTTAAGCAGTTCATTTTTTTTTCGAACATACATGTTTACATTTAATGAACATTATTTCTCATGTCATTGTATCGTACCAGCTGTTTGATTTCTCATCCAACAACTCTGCAGTTCAAGGCATTCCTATCAGTGCAGACTTCTTTAACCGGCATCAGTCATCAGTGTTTTCTGCTGGATATCAAAGGCTCCAGACTGACAACTGTCTTACCGGTGTGTCAGCTTCCATAACAGCACACACTCAGCTATGAGGGACAGCAAATTATCTTCCATTTCTTGGTCCATTGTGTGGGAGCGAGTTGAACCATCCTTTCCTTAATATCATTTTAAAAAGAACAAGTCAGCTAACCATATTCTTTTTTTTTTCAGCAGGATGATTCTAACTTCTCTCTGTTAACCTTTTTTTTTCCTTTCCTTAAGTGCTTTTGGAAGACATTTGCTTAAGAAAAAAATCGGGGTGGTGGTTGTTGGCTTTCCAGCCACTGCCCTGGCAGAAGGTCGGGCACGGTTCTGCCTTTCGTCAGCACATACTCGGGAGATGTTAGATAAAGTGAGTATCCATCTACCGGCAGAATTACTACTTCTGATACCCTGGATTCTGAGCAAATACTTTTATTGAGCCATCTCAATAACTTCTCTAGGGTGGCTGGCTTAGAAGAAAAAAACTAATGATGAAGGAAACTCCCTGTAGTTTTATAAAACAAATGACTATGATATGTCAACAATATCCATCAATATCTATATCTATCTATATCAATATCTACATATTGATATCTATATCTATCTATATCAATATCTATAATCAATAGATAGTAACAAAAAATCACAATCCCAGAGAACCTAGACAACAAAGAGGACCCTAAGAGAGACATACATGATCCAATCTACATGGGAAGTAGAAAAGGACAAGGTCTCCTGAGTAAATTGGGAGCATGGGGACCACAGGAGAGGGTTCAAGGGGAGGGGAGAGAAAGGGAGGGAAGCAGAGAAATAAAATCAATTAAGAAAATAAAAAAAAGGAAAATTGGGGGGGAACCTTCCCTATGTGTCAAATATGAACCTGAGTGTAAAAATTTTAAGCTCTTATTTTGTCAATTTAAAAAGAAGGAAAGAAAGAAATCCATTTACTGCATTTACTGATGATTTGATTAAAGTCAGAATTTTGATTTTATAGAAAAGACTAGTATCAATGAATTTTTATAAACAGTGCTGTGTGTGTATCATATACAACAAAACCTGGGACAAAAAGACTAGATAATATTGAAAAACTAAATTAAGAGCAAACTAATAATTCCAGGCAGAATAAATTAACCATGAAAAGAAAATAAGGAAACCTGTGGGAGCATAAAGATGTGGGTGAATTATTATAATGGTGAATAGTCACAAAGAAAGTGACTTTTCAGTTGGACCTTCTTAAAGAACAATTACAGAGCATTATTTAGTCGTTCTGACCACTAAAGCAACATGATCAGTCACAGTAAAATGAGTGTGACAAGTGGGTTAGGAAGGAAAGAACCTTGAGGGAAAAAAATGAAATGAAGTCATTTGAAACAAAATCAAAGTTGGCAAGAGTTCCAATGGCAGTAAAAATAACCACTGAAATGAACCTATGAACACAAACTGGGAATGCATGAGTTGCCAAGATCTGACGAGTAATTCGATGGAGGGGATTCCTGAGCAGAGAAGGCCAAAGATAATTCTCTAGATCTCTAGTCTTACTGAACAGAAGGATGAAGGTGAAGCAGTAGATGAGAGAAGGCAGACTGGAAGGATCAGATCACCTTCAATGAGAATGGAGCAATAAGGTGAAGTGCTGAATGCACCATGCCTTAAGAGTATGTGCCACTGATGAAAGTGGAACTTGATTGGAGAGCTCAGAAAATATTGCAAGCCTAGGACTACTGTAGGTTTTGGAAGTGAGGAGTTGATAAAGTCAAGGACAGAAAGCCTAATTGTTAAGGAAGAAGTAAGAGTGGTCAGGCCAAACCCCAATGGTACATATACATTCTGAGATGGAATTGAAGGTGGGAAATAGGTAGGAATTTAGGCAGAGCTAAAGCTGCCAGGAAGGATGGAGAATACTCTACTGTTAAGTACACTAAACACCAGTTTCCAGAAAAAGGACAGAAATGTTACCTAAATATAAGAAGGTTCAAATAGGGTAAGAGAAGGGAAGAAGCTATTGAATTAATTCATGGGAGCTTAATGTTCCTTAGAGCAAGAGATTTTATGGGAATGCTGGGAACAGAAATGAGAAGACAATGAATAAGAAGATGAAGAATATCGTTTAAGGGTGAATCACACTCTAGAGAGAGAGAGATGGAGCGGCTAGGGAAGGAGAAAGACAAAGATGGGGGGAAAGGGTACTGACAGAATGGGAGGAGGGAGAGACAGAGAGAAAAATAGACAAAGGAGAAAGCCAAGAGAGATCATCTAAGACAAAGACAGAGGGGAAGGAGAGGAAATGGAGAAAGACAGAGGGGAAAGATAAAAAGAAGAGAAGACAAAAAGAAGGATGAGAAGGAGAAAGGGAAGACAGTGGAAGAAAGCTTGTGCCTGTTTACACAAGAAAGTCAGAAGGCAGTGATGAGGAAACCTTACAGAAACCAAAAGGAAGATATAAACAGTGAGTTAGCTCCAAAAGGTGGCAGGAATGGGATGGGTAGCAGAGATGATTTCATTTCTTGTGGTCCAAACAAGATTAAGACCTCAAGTATAACCAATTCTGTCTGTAGTAATTAGATCCTGGGCTCCTTTTTGCAACTTCTTCATGGCTCTGAAACCCCTGACATGCTAGAAGCGCTGATATATCATCTCGATGGTTATTTATGAGATCACATACCCATTTCAATGCAAGCACGCGAGCAGTTATTTAATATAACATAAGGGGAAACTGGAACCTGTTGACTAGTCAGGGGACCAGATTAGCAACTGGACATGAACACTAGTAGAATATAAACAATATTAGACAAAGGCAGTCAGAGGGTTGGGGAGGTGGTAGCCATCTGCAAGCGTAAGGACATAAGTGTGAATTCACGTAAAAAACTGGGTACAGTAGCATGGGTGCCTGTAATCCCAGCACCAGAGCAGCAGAGATTGGCACAGTCCTGGATCTTGTGGAACCTGTGAATTTCAGGTTGTCAGAGACACTGCCTCAAAAACTAAAGTGGAAAACAATACAGCAAGTATTGGCCCTGTCTATGCCAGGTCTCCTTGCACAGGCACGTGTGTGTATGCCTTGAATGTGTGTGCATACACACACAAACACACATACATATGCAAAACTTACAAAGGAAAAGAGAGAAAGAGGGGTCATCATTCAGAGACCAGGTAGGGAACAGAAAAGACACAGGCTAGCGTAGCATCTTCTTTATCTGACTCCTTAGTGACAGCTGTAGCTTTTTGTAATGATTTTACTCCCCAGATAAAAAAGAAAAGTGCATAGTCAGCCAGTGGCTCCCTGCTGGTACCTAAGGCAGAATTTGTGTCTACTTTCTTAAAATCACCTCCAGTATAAACCCAATGCATTAAGAATTCCCTCCCTTCTAACCCCTTTCCCAGCAGTGTCCATAAGCATACTTCATCAAGGACTTTAATATAAAATTGAAATATGTGTAGTTTTGATTTTTGTAAGTCTAAGTTGTGTTATTGCATGGTATGTAGAAATGGCATTTTAAAAATAAGTGTTAGGAGTAAGCTTTGAGAGGATTGAAGATGCAGCTATTAGCTCCCCAAGTGTTGTATTTTGTTGGTTTACTCTGTTATAAAGACATAATCTCCAATGTATTCTGCAACCTTATTATTTTCTTCTATGAGGTCATATGCAGGTCTTAAAATAAATAAAAGGTTTAGGAGAGTCAGACATCTAAGTTCCTCTCCTCCTCACACTGCTAAAATAGAATATTCAGAAGGCTGAGTTAAAACATTAAATAAAAAGAATAACCATCCAATTTTTTTCTAGTATGTTTAGGTAGATCAGGTCAGTTGGAAACATGCTCGCATGCAAGCATGAGGGCCCGTATTCAGTTCCCAGAACCCACGTTTTATAAAGCCTAGAGTAGTGACATGTGCTCGTAATGCTAACACTGGAGAGGCAAAGGGAGAAAGAGAATTCCCGAGAATCACTTGTCAGCAAGCTCCAGATGCCCTATCTCAACAAACAAGATGGAAGACTCTTGAAGAACGACAGTCAAGGTTGTCGTCTGACCATCATATTTGTGTATACACACGTGCATATACACCTGGACACATGCATGTATCCACACAGACAAATTGATTAGTTCATTAAAGTTCTTCTAGGACTTACAAACCACAACCTAATGACATGGAACTTTGCTGGCACAACATTGTTATGGGTCTTTGGGAAGCTTGCCCATTAACCTGGGCTCTGTATAGTAGGCGACTTCGGAGTTTAAAGATAACTTATGCAAGGACATCTCATTGCAGGTTTTAGAAGTCGTTGATAAACTCGGCGACCTCCTGAATGTGAAGTATTTCCCATACAAGAAGTCTGGTCACCCTGCCCTCTACAATGAGAAGAGTTTTGACAAAGAAGCAAGCTTTGATGAGATGAGCATTGAGCCTGAAGCCTAAGTTTCCCGGCTCTGAGTGGGATGAAAAGACTGCCAGAAGACTTCCTTCCCCCTTTGTCTCACAAGTAGCATGACTGCATTTTACCTCTTCTTCAGGGTGGTTTTATTTTCCAATGCAGCTTAATCGAGTGAGGGAAATAGTCATTTCTTTAATGTCTCTAACCCACTGCAACACAATCAAAAACATATAATTCTAGATTTACATTTTCCCTCTCGTCTGCCAGAAACACGTAAAGCATGCTTTTCTTAGAGTGTGCTTTCATGGCAAGGAGCCTGTGTTTTAGCTGCTACTCTCCAGCTTTTGAGTCATATTCCCACAAGGGCTCCAACTAAATGAAAGGATTTTGATTTTTACCTGGGTAATCTCACTGTGTGTTCAGGTATTCCATCTGCACACATGAGAAAGAGTGACAGTGAGGAGCTGAGTCTCTTGTTCCACCCATAACAGTACCAGGAACAGTCCCTACATGTCGTGGGAAGATCCAGGAAGGACAGAAGGCAATGCTGCATCTACTCTTTGCCACATTTCGACTTTATCCAAAGACAGGTATCAAAAGACATAATTAATGCTTGCGAGAAAATGCAAAGTGGTCCAGTAGTGACCAGAGATGTCTTTGAAGTGAACCTGCTTTTGCCTGCTGGTGCTCTCGTACAATTTTGCTGTTAAGCTTTTGAGGACTGGGAAGTTCGTGACTCGTTTTCTAAAGAGGAAGAAGGAAAGCAAGCACAAGTCAGCGTTGAACCTAGACTAACACTGTAAAATTCAAACAACCCAAATGATGCTGGATGTTGGTGCCATGAAGAATGAGTTTAGCTTGTTTGGCTTTAATAACTTCCTATTTTTCTATCGAATTCTGAGTACCTAGTGAAATTCGATTCCCTTTAAAAACTCATTTCCAAATGGACTGGTTAAACAAAGTATTCAAAAGCGAGTTTTCTCTGTCTCTTTCAAGGCTGTGTATCTGTAGATACAGGTTCAGGAGATAATATCCCCTATGGCACGTTTATTCAGGTTTGCTGAGAAGTGGTATCTCATACTTCGGTGCACCTCTGGTTCTTCCCCCACCCCATACACACAAAACGGTATGAGCATCTCTGAAAAATTAGTCCTCTGCTAATTGGTTCTAGTTGGTATGGAAAAAGCCAGTGGAAAACCTTATCTTTAACAAGCTCCCAGATGGTGCCCAGACTTGGAAACTCCAAAGCGCAGAGTTGACCTTTTAGCCAAGCTTCTGTAGCAGTTCGAATGAGTTACAGAACATTCCACTCCATCAAATGACACTGTAAACAAATCACTTCAAAAGAGCTTTGGCTCTGTGTGACACAGATGGGCCCAAGCTTTCATGCTGTGCATGGAGACAGAAATTCAACCTGCAACACCAATGCTGGTTGGGGCAACAATGATGCTTAAAGATCGTTCAAAAACAAAATGATACTCATGCAAAGCTTTTTAAAAAGTATAGCCCCCCCCCGGTGGATTATAAGAGTTTGTTTGTCTTTTTTTTTTTTTAAGTGAATCTCTTGAGGCTGGAAAGATGACTCAGCAGCTGAGAGCACTTATTGCTCTTCCAGAGACAACCTGAGTTCAGTTCTCAGCACCCAGGTTGTATTGTTCACAATCACCTGTAACTCCAGCTCTGGGGCAGCTAATGCCTGTGGCTTCTATGGGCACCATGACTCATGTGGGCATATCCGCACTCAGACCCACACACATACACATGGTTAAAATATAATAAAAATAAATCATTTTAAAAAGTGGTTCCCAGTTATAAAGTGCCTCATAACTGCTGAAAAGCTGAAGGAACGCTGTGGTAGAGGAGGAAAATAGGTACTATGTGCACAGCTGCTTGTCAAAGACTGACCTGATGAGCAGATCTCAGTCCTTCCGAGTGAACTGGCGCAGCATCACCTCTGCAGAGAAAACAAATGTCGCAGAGATGCATGAAGCAAGGACAATATATCTAGGTCTTTTCTTTTCAGTATGGGCATTCGATGAAGTTGTTTCTTATAGATCATCTAAATAAAATGCAGAGTACCGGAGTTCAAAACAGGGAAAAGGGCGGTAAAGAGGACAGAGAGAGATCTATGCCTGCATCCTCACCGTGAGCATCCCCCTTCTTCTCTAGGTCTGTCTGTTATCATCACCTCCAGTGTCACACCTGCACTAAGATTTTAAACCACCAGAGGGACAGGTATCTTCCCGAGTAAGGGCGTTCATGCTTAGTATTTGCTTGGAGGAACCTGTGTTTCAGTTAATCATGGAGAAGTTACTTTACTGCCCGGTATACAGAGCGAGAAGGAGGTTCTTCCCTTTTCATTAAGATCTGAGGGTCCTGTAGCAACTTGTGACCTTTCCATACGCATATGAAAAGACTTACTTTTTGTCAGAGTCTACAGTGAATATACACTTAGGAAAAGAACTCTAATTCCAGTGGAATGCTTCCTGAGTGAGGAGAGACCCTGACTCCATTGTGTAGCAATATGAGTATATATCATATAGAAAGTTGTAAATTGTAAGAACTATTGATTTTTATAAGGTTAATTAAGACTGATTTCAATACAGTAGTAACCACTGCGTTTTATTAATCAGAGTTTGGGTCTGTTAGGATCAAGGACTCTCTGAATTATAGTGTTTTACATCCCAACTACCTTATGTGTATGTACCCATATACACACATACATGGACATGGACATTTTTACTTTTTTTTTTTTGAAAAGGAAGAAGAGAATCAACAGATAGATGAATATCTGACCGAATGACAGAGAGACAGATGTTCTAGAAATCAGCTTTTGGAGAAACAGAAGCTGAAGGTTCCAGGCTGATGAAAAGAAGACAGTTTTGTATAATGAAGGAATGACAAACTTATCATGGCACGACCCTGTCACAGAAACTTAGCTTTACTGCCTTTAGACATATTTTGGTTTGACAGAAACCATCTCCTTCAGAAATGATTAGGAAACCAGTTAACATGACAAACAATGTGGGTCACACCAGACCACCACTGAGTCTGATCACGGCGGTTCCCAGGACACTACATTTTAGGAAGCCTCGCCAGGTAATTCCAACATATGCCAGAATTTGTAAAGCATGATTAGAGCTTTCAGTAGACCAGTTGCCTCCTGGAACACAGCAGGGGACTTTTCTGATTCTTTGTTGGTGTCTAAGGGCGTTTATACTAGTAAACTGAGATGAAGTTACTTGGTGCTTCTTTCCTCCTCAGTGGGCCATTTTCTAAGGAATATCTGTCTCTATGAAAAACAGACCCAATTGAAAAGGTCTTCACAAGATGCCCCCCCTTTTTTTTTCTTTTAATATTCTCCTCCTTTCTCTCCATACTTTTTTAATGCTAACTGAAAATTTAAATTAACCCCAGTTAAATCCTCAAATAATTCCATAAAATGACAAAAAGTTATGACAGCAAAATCAAAACTTCACTGACAATATCTGCAAACAATAGATGACGATATACTCTTAACTTCTAAAATGCAAGGGGGTAAATCTCATGGAATTTTTGAGACCTGCATGGCTACCAGGCTTTATGCAAGATGACTAGGGCTTCCATACTTTTAAAAAGTTCAACTTCTGACTATCACAGCTCTGCAGTAGAGTGTTATTCTTGCCAGCTCCTCAGATATACAATGTTCCTCTGCATCTTCTCTCACAAGTAACAGATATATAAAATTCTAACTCTTATTCTAAAATCTAAGTTCTGATGAATACTTGAACTATCTTAAATACATTCTTTTATTTATGACAGTCCTAATTTCGAAGATAGTGACAGAGTATTTGTGTTCTATTCTCTTCCAACACTATACCCTGCTGCACAGGGTTTTGTAAATCAGAGAGAGTATTTCCTGCTTTGGAGAGAGAGCGCGTCAGGAATGTATTTCCCTAGCAAGCATGAAGATCTAGCTGAACTTGACCCCCAACGCTTATGTAAAAAGCCAAGCCCGGTGATATAAGCTGTAATCCTAGCTCTCGGAAGGCAGAAACAGGTATATTCCTCAGACTTGCTAGCCAACCCACCTAGCCTTATTACTCCAGGTCATAATGAGAGACCCTCTCTCTGAAAATAAAGTGGATGGTTTCTGAGGAACAGCACTCAAGGCTGGCATTTGGCCTACACACACACATAACACATACATACATACACACACACACACACACACAAGAGGGGACTGTTTTTAGGCAATTGCTGTAGTATATTACTTTATGACATTGTGAAATACAGCATATAGGATGTGAATATGTTTATGTTTCATTGAAACATTTGAGATGACCTGACCAGTTTACTGTAAAATATTACTTTAATAAGCAAATCACTAAAATTGATACAATAAAACTCATAAATGGTTTTGTGTTGATGTTGTTTCAGTCATTCTGGGAGGAAAAAATGGGTAGAAATTTTCACCTAGGAATTTCGCTAGAGGTGACTGGTGGAGGTAGCCATAGCTAGAGAGGCGCATCTTTTCATGAGAACCAATTGTGCACAGATCCTTCCAGATCATTAAGTGACATCGCAATGGGGGCTTGAAGTTGGTCCATCAGGAAACTTAACACCATAGAAATGAGCAAACACTACAACTCATGAGCCAGGAGGTCTAGCTTTCCAAACTCTAGCAGCAGGCCACTGAAACCAGACAATATGGTACAGTTCGTGTACAATATGTAATCATTATATATTCATGCAGAATTGTGCAGTGAAGTTGTCCTTTAGCACTAAGTCAAACTCAAGGAACAAAGCTAGCCTACAACCAACCAAATCGAGCTCCCAGGAAGAGGCGTAGGACAAGGCATTAGCACAAGCAAGACCATTCTGTCCAGTTGGAGATGGTTCCTGTGACCTGTCATTTAAGATTCATTTCTAAGATACCCACTTAAAATTTATAATGGAAAAAATAAACACAGAGTAGACTAGGCTAGCGTGATGAAGCCAATACACCTATCATCATGCTCTAAGCCTTGTCACTTCGTGAGCAGGCTCTTCTCATCCTCCCCTTCACTCGCCCCCTCATTAGATTAAAGTGAACCCTGGAAATCATTTCACTTCATGACTAAGTATTTCCTGGAGTCTTTTGAAAAGGCAGTGATGTCTTAATTTGTTCCTCCTTTCAACCTCATTAAAATACAAGTCTTTGGAATAACATCAGCATTAAAATGAATCAAACATGAACCCTTTGTGTCTCTATCTCCTTAGCTAGTTGGGATTTCCATGGTTTACAGCTAAGAATACATTCTGAAATAGGTATATGATGTTCTGAGAGCTAATAAGCCAATGATCTTTAGAGACCGGGCTAAACACTCCTATACACACAGTCTCCTGAGGATTGTTGTTTAAGTTTACAGAGGTTTCTTGGAAGGCAACAGTGTGCAGTATTGACTCACGGAGCAGGAAGGGGAGTTCTAAGACTCTGGTATTGCTTTCTTAGGCACGTGTCCTCATTCTTACTAGAGCAACTTTCTTCAAGGGTTATTTTAGCTAATCTTTGCATAATAACAAAGGTAACTCAATCAAAAATAAGAGAACAAGTCAAACCAGTCTACTTGTTGGAAAAGGCTGATAACTATGCCAGTTTGGAATTAAGGTAGGACTTGTGATTCTAATTCTCCTTGCAGCCTTTGGACTAAATGAGGAGCTGAAAGCCAAAATTTTCAAGTCAGCTGCACCAAAACCTTATCATAGAAATAAATCAGTGAAATACCTAACAGAAGGTCAGAATAGACGGAAAAGAGGATTTTTTTTTCCTGCAGCATGAAACAGTACTGCCTTTTATTCAGGCCAGATGCTAATTTTTATATCAAAAATATTGATTGAAGGGCCTAGTGATTTTGGCTCTCACCCAAGTTTATTCAGGATCTTTCTTAATTAGGTTTGGGTCGGCTGCAATGCCCATGGCCAAGGGTAAGTCTGGCTCCAATCACCACGTTGTGCTCTCTACTTCATCACGGGCCAAGGACTAAGGCAAGGAAATTGCAGCTTCTTTGTTTCTCCGGCCCAAAAGTTTGTTTTTTTCCAGATTTAAAGCATGCATGGAGAAAATGTGTCAGGAAGACCAAAAGGAGCAGAGTGGCAATGGCCTGACTGTGGTGAGCTCAGTCTACCCTGCCCCTTGCCTGCCATCCCAAGTGGGAATAAAGGGCGGTAGATGAAAACGAATGGGTGTCAGTGTGAGGGCGCGGAAGAGATCATGGCATCCTGTAAATGGAAAATGTTCAATAAGTTTAAGTTGCCAGTCACTGAGATTTTATTTTTAAGAATAAAAAAAAGTTGCTTGAACAGCAATACATGATTTCCCTATATTTTGTAAATAATTGTTGTCATCATGCTACTGTTTTTTTAGTGTCAATACCGACTTTATATAATTTACGCAGCTTTTTAAAATGTCACACACATAAAACATCGGTAAATCACAGTCACAAACTATAGACGACTACAACAGCGAATTTTTCTACTATATGTAAAGTAGTATGCTGATGTTTAAAACGCACTGAAATAGCTCTGAAAATTTTTTAGCTAGAAAAAATGTCCTTAAGTAAAACTTCAAAATAAAAACTTATAAAAAGGTTTGAAGACAGTTTTAAGTAGGACCAGTTAAATATTAAGACATTTCCTACGTAAATGATCCTATAACTTGATAACTCTGGCATATATCAGTCACCCATACATTACATAGAAAAATTAAAATATTTCATTGAAGTAAGTCTATATGTAGTAAGATGAAAACTTTTTGAAAATTAAATTGATTTTTTTATTACACACATCTGATTTATAAGTGCCAAGCAGAAAGGAAACATGATTAACTTGCATTAACCAATATGATCCTTCATTATAAGTATAAAAGTTCAGGGATTTTTTTCAGATATGAGAGGAAAACTGTCAATAGTCAAAAGAGTCGTCAAGGTGAAAAGGAAAAGCATCCACTGGCAGACACAGACAGTTTTCAGAGAGAACTTTTGAGATGTTATAGTGTGGCGCATGTAGGTTAATCTCATCAAGATAGATCCATAAGAATAAGCTGACTAAAAAGGAAACGACATTCACATACACTAAATGTTACCTAGCATTTAAATATTGGATGAATATAAATCAATAGAAAACAAGAAATACATTTAAATGCCGCTTAGACTGCAAAGCAAAGGACAAACAAAAGGATGGAAGGGATGTGAAAGATGCAGGCTGCCAATAAGGAAGGCCAAGAGCCATCAGATAAGTTAAAATGGATGAGTAGAAGGCACGGAATGCAGAAAAATATCAAATAAATAATAAAAGAACCATTTCCCTGGTGCTGGAACAAAACAAAAAGAAACAGGCTGCTAAGTGCTGAGATGAAGGCTAAAAGGTTTTCACATAAATATGTCTTCAGGACTTGCACACCACCGAGAACAAACAAAGGATTTCAGTGCTTACAGCTAGAGAAACAACAAAACAATCCCAAATAACAAGGTAGAAGCAATGGATTTTACTGTTGAAAGTTACAAACGTGCCCTCCAGACAGTTCGTTCCAACATTCTCATCCCTTTGCATTATGTAGAACAGCCATTTATTTCTTCAACATGCACCAATGCTATGAACATCCTATACTCATGACTGACCTGTTGTGGAGAAAGTGGCCCTCACTAATGTCTGGTGGTCATTTAGTAGGGCTAACCCTTTCTCATATGTATGTCTCCTGCTGGTCTTTTGCAAGTGTGTGTAGTCTTGTTTGTAGTCTCTGACTCATTCTATATTACAAAATCCCATGCTAGACGACAAAGAAGCAATGTATTCAGAACTCAGAGGGAAGCAGGTTCTAATCTAAAATTCTTCATGCAGAAATATCTATCGAACAAAAGAAGAGGAAAATGTGCATGCGCAAATGTGAGTATGTGTGTGTGTGTGTTGTATGTGTGTGTGTGTGGTATGTATACACCAAGTAAATGCTCTCAGTGATTCCACAAGGACAGCCAAATTTTTATTTATTTTTCTGTGTAAACAAGGCCTCACTAAGTTGCCCAGGCTAGCCTAAAATTGACTATACAAAGCCAGGATGGCCTTGAAATTGTGTTTCTCCTGCTTCAACTTCCTGAATAACTGAAATTGCTGGCTTGTCATATCATGTGTTGGCAAAATGGGGACATTTTAACATAAAGCATTTAAAGTTCATGGTTTTCAAACATAAATAAAAATCACTATATTTGAAAAAAAATATGACTTTCTTTTTAAAAGCAAAATTACTTGCAAATAATCCAATAAACACTTCCAAACCAAAGGAAGGTACCATAGACAGTACAGGGTGGAATCCACTAGCAGGCAATGAAAAGATCCCTCAGAATGATCATTTATAGTAAAATTAATCAAGCTGTTGTAACAAAAACAACAACAAAAAGATGTTCAGGCTCACAGCATTTCTAGCCTGTGGCCCCAGAAGCCATGATGATTTTGTCCTAATGTGCATGGTTATTTCAGTCAATGGGAAAGGAAAAGGGAGAATGGGAGAGCCAGCTGATTAGCCCTGCGTGATGACTGACTTAACTCTGGCACTGGACACATTGAGAGAGTAGACCAACCCTGATTCTGTGATCCACAAGGATGTCCAGTGATGTCTAAGACAAAGAATCGCTCTGTTATCTCAGTACCTAGAGATCCAGCCATCTTTTCAGTACTGCTCCTGTATCCATTCCATTTACTTGTATGAGACAGGAAAGCCTGTGAGCTCCCTCCATCCTCCGTTCACAGAGGCCACACCCAGTCTGTTACCCATAGTTGTTCATGTCCAGAAGTTTATCCTATCTTTCCTTCTCATTACCCTTGGATACATCCATTGAGTTCCACAGAAATGCTAGGCTTAGTTCTGGTCACAGGGCCCAAGGTGGTTGTCATATGTGCACGCTCAGAACTAAGGCACCTTTAGAAAAGCTTGCCTGGAAAGGAGGAGGCGGTGCTACATCATCAGTGTCCATCTGCTGCCCTGGCCACCAGACCCATGAGCACACTAAGTCTGGTCCATATGCTCCTTGGGATATGAAAAGAAAGGTGATAGGCTTCTCACCTCTGTGATCTTCCCTCTGCCTCTCAAATTGTCACACCTCACTTCAGGACGCTCCTGGGTTTCATTAGTTATGGGGGAAGCAAGCCAGAGGTTTGTTTAGGATTGGCTCTTTTAAATTTCACTTTCACAGGGTAATAGCCTGGAGTCAGCTCTCAATGAAATGCTAGAAAAGAGAAGCCATCGTCGTCTACTTTATGACTTGTTTACCCATTTGCATCTTCCCTGCACACATTCCTCCAGTCCCCTGCTCCCGGGTTATGACCTTTCAGAGGTTCGCAGCTGGTTCAAAGCTACTCTCCGGTGACAGTTTAAGGGCTAGGAGAGGT